ACCACAGCTCTGTAAACCATGGCAGACAGCTAATCAGCTTGCAAATCCCCTCCAATAAGTTGTCGGTTTTTCCAAGGGGATGGTGTTTAAGATAGGAAAGCAGCAACGTTGGCTGCCCTCAAGCTATTCTCCTAAATATTTGATGAGTGAATGTGTTTGTTTATGAGCTTGCTTTGTATCAGCCCTTGAGTCATTGTCCAGTGACCTTTTTCTGCATGAGACTGAAGCCCAGTAATATTGGATTGTGGCTATCATTTCAAACCTGGAGTGGTTTGGGGTTAAGTTAAAATCCATTGTCAGGCAAGTGGTTTGAGCCTCGCGGAGAGACAAACACAGTCAGCAGTTTCTGGTTAATTGTAAAATCATATGCTGAGTATCTTTGCAATGCATTGACATTTTCTAACACAATCATTCACTCACGGAGCATTTAAACCATAGCCGGAAGTTGAGTGATTTTATGCCTTAATGTGTACTAAGCTGAATAATTTCAAGGTTTAGGGGCACCACATCTCATTCTGAACCTCCAGGACAATAACAGAGAAAGGTCCACCAGAGGTTACCGTTCTGCATCAGCTGATTTTTGATTCAATTCTTTTTTAACTCCCCTCGGTCATTTTTGAATTGAATTGATTTATTTATTTATTGTCACGTGTATCTTGTTAAAAAAACAGTGAAAAGTGGTGTATAGAGTCCGACACCATCTTAAATGTTGGAAAATAAACCAAAACATAGAATATAAAGGCAGAAAAATGAAGAAATAAAGAGAGAGTCCTACTTTACAGTCCATGTTAAGTGGTCCGCCATGGGCCATGGGCCTGGTGGCCATGCATGAGGCCCCTTCACCATGCCACTGCTGCTGGAACAAAAGTTGCCGCTCCTTGGTGCCATCTTACCTCCACCGACATAACCAGTGCCATCTTGGTCACACACCTGATTACAAAACCGGAATAAAAAATGCAGCAGAAATAAAGACTCGTGTGCCAACTAGCCAGCTAGAATAAAACACCCACTACGAAGAAGTCATTCCAGACTCAAAACATTGAGTTGTGAAGGAGGGTCACTGGATCCGAAATGTTAACTCTGCTTTTTCTCCACGATGCTGCCAGACCCGCTGAGTTTTTTCAGCAATTTCTGCGTTTGCTTGATTTCCTGCATCCATGTTATTTGGGTTTTATTTTCATAAAGAAACAAATACCAGCAGAATTAAACATGGCAGATCCTGAAAAAGCAGCCCTGAACCTAATCATTAGGACATGTGAAGACAAAAGTTAGACCGAGAGTGCGGTGGGATGAACTGTTGCTCTGCTTGCGTGATTCTTTAAAGCGGGGAAAGTGCCTGCATAAAGTTTTGGCAAAGATCTGTAGCTCAGGCTGTGGGTGAGGTTGTTGACCTGCTCACCGAGCTGGCTTGTTTTCATTCAGACATTTCGTCACCGTGTTGGGTAACATCATCAGTGAGGCCTCTAATGAAGCGATGTTATTCTACTCTGCTTGGAGTTTATACTGTCCGTTCCGTTATGGTGAGTAGTGTCATTGCCTGTTTTGTTCTGTATGGGTTTGTATATGGGGTCCACGTTTGGTGTATGTTTGTTGATTACATTATGGGTTGAGAACCATGCTTCTAGGAATTCCCGTGCGTATCTATGTTTGGTTTGGGCTGCAATAGTTATGTTGTCCCAGTTACTCACCATAACGGACCGGACAGTATAAATTCCAAGCAGAGTAGAATAACATCGCTTCATTAGAGGCCTCACTGATGATGTTACCCAACACGGTGACGAAATGTCTGAATGAAAACAAGCCAGCTCGGTGAGCAAGTAAACAACCTCAGAGTGCCTGCATTTTATGAATCACATTACAGTACATCAAGGCATTCTGCAGCACTTTACTCCAATAAGGTACAGATCCGCTTGCTATAATGGGTATTGTTGGTGCCAAAGTTACTTGCCCACTTTATTCAGAATTGTTAAAAAATTCAACAAGGTTGAACATAAACGTATTAAAGCCAAATAAAACTGCTGCGTTTCTGCCGGTCCTAATTCATATCAGTCATATCCTGGACCTCTTCTATACAATCATTAAAGGAATGATTGGCCAGTTGAACTTCCTTTGTGTCATGACTTTATCCAAAATCGGCAGTGATTTTGGTATCTCTGTGTTGCATATCTAGCCTCACATTGCGTCTACCCTGCACATCACAATGTTGTACACCCTATGTATCTTAGTGTTGTGTACGCTACATCGCGCATTGTTATGTATTCTACATCTTGCATTGTTAAGTATTCTACATCTCGCATTGTTGTATATTCTCCATATCATGTTGTTGTATATCCTACACATTGCATTGTCATGTACCCTATGTTTCGTAATGTTATGTACCCTCCACATCGCATTGTGTACCTCATGTGTCACATTGTTGTGCACCCTAATTATCTGTTAACTGTGTATTCTACATGCTGGATTGTGGTGTACCCTAGGCATTGCATTGTTATGTACCCTACTCTTAACATTGTTGTCTTCGCCACATATCACATTGTTGAGTACCCCATATATTGGAATGTTATGTAGTAATCATAAGGGAGTGGTTTGTACGTGTCTTTTGGGATGTTGTGTACAGGAATATATTATGGTGTTGCTGCCCATTCAGTTTCCAACTAGTATACTATTGACAGTGTCAATACATCTAAATTTGTAATTTCCCCTCCTTTTACACTGCCTTCTGCACAGGGAGTCATCAACATTTGGATTGTTGAGGCTTTGGCTCAATGCTCTTGATGCGTTACAATGAAGCGAGCATCAGGACTTAGACCATGATCTCTACCCTTGGCTGGACCACATCCTGAATCTGCTGTGGGCCAGGCTTGATGAGCAAGTTGCTTAATCGAGGAATTCCTTCTATAGCAAAACACAGCCTCAAAAAGCAAACTGCACATCACTGAAAAGGATACTGTTAGTTTCTTAAATTGCCTTCCAGTAGGATTATGTACACTGCGGACATTTCCAATGCAAGGTCATGTTCGCTCACAACATGTTGAGAAATGCAGAATGTAAAAGAGCAGGAGAATGTTGGGCCTTACAAAGCTTCCTGCATGACTGTGATCAATACTACATCAAATTATCAGTTGGAGAACCTTTGATGGGATCCACATAATGGATCTGGATGAGGGAGAAGGGGCTGAAAAGTCTCAAGTCTTGAAGTTTTGATGCGGACGCATACTGTTACATGCTTTCTTTCTGAAGTAATTTGCTCCCAACTGTATTTTTAGCCTCTGGCAAATAAAAACGTGTAACTCTTTAAGTACATTGGGCCAGAAAACATTGAAAACATAATTATTGATTGAGAGATCTTGACAACCCGCAACCACCTAATCCTCCCATCCGAGTCTCCCAACTTACCTCAACCGAGAAACATCAATACAAACAAAGTACTCTCTTGTTGTCCAATTCAATATCAATACCACAACCCAATGGCTGAATTATTTTCCAGTACCTTCTCTGCAAGCCTGTGCCATGTGTAAACAGTTTGAACCTAGGGCATCATTCTGAGCAATCAAGAGCTGTTTTAATTTCTTTAATCATTTGAGATTAACATTGAAGGAGCTTCAAAGATAGAGGCCAGTTTTTGAAACTCTCACTCTGTTGAGAAAGGGATTTAAGTCTCCAGTCACAGGTTTCCATCTATAATCGAGGCTAACATGGCAGTCTGGTACAGTGCGGGTGTTTCATTTATCGGAGCATTTGCTTTTGTGTGGGCAGCGGCGAGAGAGGATGCTGCTTGGAGTGGCGGATGAAGTTGGGGACGTGGGCCCGGGGAGCAGCAAGGCTGAGTAAATTGGCGAAGGGGAAGGCGTCCAGTTGGTGGTGGCTGACGCAGCTCCACCCCAGCTCACGGTCTCCAGGCGAGCGAGGGGCAGGTTCCAGGCTTACTCCCCTGGCCCACAACTGGCAGGCTGAGCCGAGGCTCCGAGTTTGCAGTTAGCCCACCTCCCCACCCCGTGTGCCTGATAGTGGACACGGCGTTGCGTTTGATGCTGGTGTAGGACCCTGTGGCACTGGTGGCAGCTGCATTTGTTGAGGTCGGCCCAGCGTGAACTCATGGCGGCGACGTCGGTGAAGGCGAGATGGCGCCAGAAGGTGGCAACTCTTCCTTCAAGCAGCGGCAGAATGGCGATGTGCAATTGCAGCAGTGTCATTGGTTTAGCAGCATAGACCTGAGGCATCGGCGTGGAGAAACCTTGATCCATGCCCATGGCTCAGCTCGAAGCGGAAGCTGTACCAAAGACCACCGAATCTTATTGAGATAACATTGTAAGATGAACTTCATTTTGTTTTTTGGCACTATATTCTGTGTTTTAGTCTATTTTCTGTGCTTTAGGATGGCACTGGGCAGCGGTGACATTAAGCAACACTTTCACTGTATTTGTAATAAGTACATATGACAACAAATTAAATCAAATCTAAGATGACTTCTCAAAGCTAAGCCTCCAACTACCCTGGTGTTATTAGAAAAACAATGAGTCAACATTCCTCCCTGTTCCAGCATCCTTTAGCTGACCATTCTTTCAGCGGGTCTTCAAGGGATGGCACTGACCTATCCAGTTGACATTTTTGCTGCTAACTCAGGATGATGATGAGCAAAACTATTTTCTCTGGGAGGGTTGTGCATCCTTGAGGCTGTCTACCCCAGATCCTGGTGGACGTTCCATTCTTGAGTACTTTTGAGGTTCAGATAGACTCAGTGTTGATCTCTCAGGGAATTGTTTGGAGAATGAGTGGGAAAGTGGAGTCGACGTCGATCATGCATGATCATTTTCGTTGGCGGAGCAGTTTTAACGGGCCATTTTTCTCCAAGTTGTTATGATGTTGATCTTTCCTTTGCTTCAGATTCCAGGAGGGGAGCCTCACTGTAGGATGAACAAGTGAGACGCAATATAAATATAATCATTTATTGCTGTTACCTGCTGTCATTCAGAATCTCAATGTCCTTTGCCTGTTTCTAGTTACACAAACAGGGTGGTCGGGAATGGATTGAAGGAACAAGCAAACAACCCGGAAGTGAAAGTCCGAGGACCTGACGCCATGGTGAAGAAAGTCATCGACAAACTCGTGCAAATCGATAAGGTAAGATGCTGAGACCCACATCTGTAAATCACTCAAATGGCTGAAAAAATTAGGCAAAGATTTTCCAAGTGTAAAAGGATTCTTGGCAATGTCATGACAATGATGCCCAGTGTTGGAGTGTAAGACCAAGTCATCTGCCCTGAGTGTGACTGCCTGATGAAAATGGACTCTTGTTCTGATTGTAGGCCAGATGTATGTTATGATTCAGGACAAAATCACCAAATTATGTTACAGTATGGTTAGGGACCAGTTAACATTACTTTTAAAGCAGACAAAAGGGGATTGACTAACACAATAAAGCCACATGATTCCATCATTTTGAACAAACGACAATACTATATGTGTTAGAACAAATTTGCAGTCTACAATACATGTCCAACTTCCTCCTAACAGTGATAAGCATTGGTAAGGTACTGTATTCCAATATCCCCTGCACTGTACTTACAATTGGGGTCTTGTGGCACAGTGCTAGTGTTCCTACCTCTAGGCCAGAAGGTTCAGGTGTGCCATAACATGTCTAAACAGGCCAATTAAAATAACTAAAAATACGAAATGTGATCAAGATAGAGCCACAGATTCCTCATCGACTGGATCAAAATCCTGGAATGCTCTCCCCAACAGCTTTGTGGGTCTACCTACAGCAATGGTTCAACAAGGCACCTCACTATCACATTCTCAAGGGCAACTAAGGACAGGCAACAAATGCTGGCCCAGCAAGCAATGCCCGCATTCCACAAGTGAAAAAAAAACCTCCCCTTCAACGTGAGATGCTGGGTCACCATTGCAAGACATTACAATTCTTCATCTTCACTGATCTGGCCTCGAAATTTCCTCTGAAGAGTTGCTTCATCACAAACTGCCTCAACGACTCCTTCTGTTTTGGTTCATCACCTTCTGTCCTGGACCCGTGGGCTCAGAAACTGCACTCCAGTACCCATTTACAGATGTAGCCCAGCTGTTCACTGACAGCTAGCTTTACCAAGCCATCCCTGCCCTGTGTTTTCCTCTGAATTCCAATCTTGTTCAGTGATATTAAGTAAATTCTGCTTGTGACATTTTCATCCCTGCTGCACTTTCATATCTCTGCTGCACTGTTGTATTGATGCTCACAGGTTTCTTCTGAGCCCCTTATGGCTTTCCACAAAGCCAGTGACCTTCCGACTTTCTGAGCTTCCCTGGACTTCTTCGGAGTCCTGACTTTAACACTTAGCCACGTACTATTACCTAGAACTTCTTCCTGAGTTCAATGTAACAGCTACTTTTGACTCCTCACTGAGTTCCCTTGCACAGAATCCCTGTTGTTCAGCTGTGTTCCCACCATACAACAAAAAAAATCATACTGCAAAAACTAATTGTCATCCTTTCTGTGTCTGTCACTGTCCCTCTCTCAGCTCACGGTCCCCCGCTTTCTGTTTTGCTAACTTCTCTAATTCTGTCTTTTAAAAGTTCACTGTCTCTGACTTTCTCTCTGTTTGAGCCCTTTCTGCCTCTGTGAATTTTTTCTTTCTGTGTCCGACTGTCTCACTTTCTATCTATGTGAGATCGTTCTCTTTTCAGATTTGTGAACCCCCAGATTATCTTGTTCCATCTTTGAGTGTTACCTGCATTCCTCCCTAGTTCTGTTTATCTCCTCATTCTATCCAGCTCTGCCTCTCTCACCATGTTTCATATTAAAACATAGGATATAGGAGCAAGAATAGGCCACTTGGCCCTTCAAGCCTGTTCCGCCATTCAATATGATCGTGACTGATCATCCATGTTCCAGTTTTCCCTCCATGCCCTTTGACCCCACTAGACCTAAGAGCGACATTTTGAAAACATTAAATGTTTTGGCATCAACCAGTTTCTGTGGCAGAGAATTCCACAGGCTCATCACTCTCTGGGTGAAGACATTTCTCCTCATGTCAGCGAATCAAACTTCACCAGCCCTTCGATCTATAAGTTTCCTTCAGTCTCCTGACTGGCCAACTTTAAAATTAACTTCTTTGCAATTCACACTTTGTGGGGCATATTAGACAGACCTTCCTGTCAGCTGCAGAATAATTCTGTGAGAATTGTGGGATGTTTGTTAGCTTACTTGGCTAAACAAGTTTGCAATACAGAGTAATACCACAGCATGTGTTCAACTCCTGTATCAACTATTGGACCATAGGATATAGGGCCAGAATTTGGCCATTCAGCCCATCAAGGCTGCTCCACCATTTGATCATAGCTGACATGTTCCTCAACCCCAGTCTCCTACCCTCTCCCTGAACTCTTGATCCCCTTACCAATCAAGAACCTATCTATCTCTGTCTTAAATACACACAACGGCTTGGCCTCCACAGACCTCTACAGCAATGAGTTCCACAGATTTAACCACCCTTTTGTTGAAGAAATTCCTCCTCATCTCAGTCCTAAAGGATCATCCCCTCACTCTGGGGCTGTGCCCTCAAGTCCTACTCTCTCCTACTAGTAGAAGCACGGTGGCTCAGTGGTTACACTGCTGCCTCACAGCACCAGGGACCCGGGTTCAATTTCAGCCTCGGGCAACTGTCTGTGTGGAGTTTGCACATTCTCCCTGTGTCTGCGTGGGTTTCCTCTGGGTGCTCTGGTTTCTTCTCACAGCCCAAAGATGTGCAGGTTGGGGTGGATTGGCCATGCTAAATTGTCCGTAGTGTTCAGGGATGTGTAGCTTAGGTGGGTTATAGGGGAATGAGTCTGGGTGGGATGCTGTCAGGGTCAGTGTAGACTTGTCGGGCCGAAGGGCCTGTTTCCACACTGTAGGGCTTCTATGAAGCATCTTCTCCATCGGCTCCCTGTTTCACTTTCATTTCCCTCTCTCAATTTGTCCCTCCCAATCTCACTTTGTTCCTAGCCTGTCTGAGTCACTCTCTCACTCTTGGTCTTCTGTTTTTCTCGATTCCTCTTTTGTCCCCCTCTTACTGTGGTGTTCTCCTGTTTTTCTGAACTCCTTGTTCTGAGTTTGTGTGTGGACAACTTTAACCATACAGTTTTTTTTCTGATGAAGGGTCTAGGCCCGAAACGTCAGCCTCTCTGCTCCTATGATGCTGCTTGGCCTGCTGTGTTCATCCAGCCCTGCACCTTGTTGTCTCGGATTCTCCAGCATCTGCAGTTCCTACTATCTCTGATTCGACTTTAACCATACAGTGCTGGTTGCTGTAGGATAGCCAGCAGCATTATACAAACTTATCTAACAAGTACTTAGTCAAGGACACAGAGATATATTTTGGTTCTTTGATCATATGTCACATCTGAACACTGCTAAGAGATTCCCATTTCAATCTTAACTCTTCCCCTGCAGGTAAAGCTTCCTGGTCTAACAGCTGCTTTGCATAAATCACTCGGTTGTGACATTGCACCCTGCCTCACTGTAAATCCAGTCGTATGAAGCCTTTGCTTCCAGTAGTGTCAGACCAGCATCCAAACTGACTGTTGACCATGTAAGCATGAGATGGCAGTGTGTGGGGAATTGATACCCTGTTACATGACCACAGTCCTACCAATCAGCAGCTGACCTCAGGACATGGGCCAGTGTTGCTCTGAACTCTGTTTTAACATTGCCTGTGCTCTTCTGAAGACTAAAGCAGTTGACATCCAGCAGTTCGATGCCTCATCTGTGCCGGGCGAATCTAGGAGTGTTACAATCGGTCTCAGGATTCCAGACCTAGGTGTTAACATCTAATATCGTATGAAGGGATGCCTGGGAGCTAATGGAATAAGGAAATGGACATTAGTAATGAAGAGTTAATTGGGTGTGAATTGGCTGTATAAAGATGGGGAGCTAGTAATCAGTGCAGTGTGAGAGTTTTATGGAGTGTGGCTAACTCAAATAAAGCTCGCACTAAAGGTGTGGACTTGAATTCTGTTTTAAATACGGTTTAACATTTGGAGGATAACAATAGATGCACTTTGACAAGGACAGAATCGGACAAAGCCCATGGTTGAATAGTACCCACTGCCCAAGTATTTGCCCGATCAGAGTGTTTCGTTTGTAATGCAGGTGCCAGCATTAATAATGGCTGTCATCTGTATGTACAGTTGCACCCCATAACATCTCACTGTGACTGTGGTGCAGCCTGTAACGTAAAGGATGCACTTTCAAAGACTGTTGAGGTCGTTGAGGTTGGTTGGCTCGCCGAGCAGGTTTGTTGTTTCGCAGACGTTTTGTTACCATGCTGGGTAACATCCTCAGTGCAGCCTCCGATGAAACGTCGGTGTGTTTTCCCGCCTGGTTTTTAAACTCTGGGGTCCGTTGAGATGGATTGCCTCACTTCCGGTTTTCCTTCGTAGTGGAATGTATATGGGATCAAGTTCAATGTGTTTATTAATAGCCTGCTTCGTGGAGTGCCATGCTTCCAGGAATTCTCGTGCCTGTCTCTGCCTAGCCTGTCACAGGATCTTGGTGTTGTCCCAGTCGAAGTGGTGGTTCTCCTTGTCCCTGTGGATTGAGATGAGTGAGTATTGGTCGTGTCTTTTTGTAGCCAGTTGGTGTTCATGCACTCTTGTTGTTAGTTTCCTTCCTATTTGCCCGATGTAGTGTTTCTCACAGTCTCTGCAGGGGATCTTGTAGATGACATTGGTCCTGTCCATGGCAGGGAGTGGGTCCTTAGTTCGGGTGAGCAGCTGTCTTAGGGTTGACGTGGGCTTGAGTGCCACTCTGTGTGCCACTTTCAAAGACTTGTTGCACCAGGCTGGACAGAATGACTGCTTACAGTGATCCTTTCAGAACATCTCTGGAGCCAACTAGCATTGGCACAAGCACTGGCCTTCCTCTGCTGTGCGAGAGCACTGTCCATCTCCATCCACTTCTGAGGAGCTATCCCTAAGGTGCACGTCACTTTGCTTTACAGTCAGAGACAGGCAGGCAGCTCTCACCTCCTCTATATCTGTGCCGAATGTGCTTCCTTATAACTGATTAGACCATTTAAGTTTAAAAACCATATCATTCAGGACCTGGACTTCATCCTTGCCTGCACAGAACTCAGCCTAGTGATGCC